TTAGACTGATTCTTCCCGGCCAGTCTATTTATGTCACTTGCTCGTGTATTCCACCGACTTCGGATGTACTAATATACGAGCAGCACTTGTCTGCCTTAAAAACTGTTTCTTTCTCGCTATCTGATAAAAACCATTTAATAGTTCTTGGGGATTTTAACTTGCCAGGTACTGTCTGGTCTTCGGTTAACGAGTCAAACAACCTTGTGCCCATGTCACGACATGAGTTTATTGATGGCTTATTAGACCTGTCCCTGTCTCAAGTCAACCATGTAAAAAACTCCTTGGGTCGATTGCTTCATCTGTGCTTTGTCTCGGATACGACCGTAGCGTTGTTAACACGAGCACTCCAGCTCACTATACCTGAAGACTGCTATCATCCTACTTTCGAAGTGTCGGTAGATATTGGACTTACTGTATCGGATCGTGCGGATCTGAACACATCCGCTGCTTTCGAGTTTACGAAGCTCAATAACTTAATTAGACATTTTTATTGGTCCGCTCTGTACTCGTGCACTGACGTCATTGAAGGCACAAACATTTTTTACAATGTACTTGACACAATTTTTGACACGTGTGTCCCACTCTCATGTCCGACTAGATCTGCGAAACCTCCTTGGTTCACCAAAGAGTTATCCAGTCTAAAGAACCTAAAATCAAGACTATTTAAAAAATCTCCAGAAGTTGGTTCTCCCTCTTCTCTTTCTAATTACTAATAGCTCGGTCAAATTTCACTGTTCTTAATGCTCAATACTATAGGAACTGCTCCTTCGATAATACGTTTTTCACAGGACCCTAAACATTTTTACAGCTTTGTAAACAGTAAGCGTAGAAAGTCCGCACATCCATCCTCGCTATCATTTTTGAATATGTCCGCAAACAATGATCAAACAATCGCCGGTCTTTTAGCAACATTTTTTCAAACAACCTATTCCAAGGAAAGCTACCCCAGGTCATGTTTATCCATAAAGTCTACCAAGGTCGAATGTAATTTTTTGCTCTTCGTTTAATGAAGGCTCGTTACTTCATGAACTTCAATTAGGTAAGCCGGTATTTTCACCGGGCCCTGACGGAGTTCCCGGCTGTGTACTCAGGTACTGTGCCGGTAGCAAGTCTGACGCTAAAAACTATGGAGGAATATCTAAGTTATCCGCTATTCCTAAAATGTTCGAGAAACTTTTAACTCCGCACTTGCAGATTCTCTGCAATTCACTTACATCTCCAGCTCCGCACGGATTTATACGGCGACGATCAACAACCACTAATTTTATAGAGTTCCCCTACTCTGTCATTAAAGGATTCCAAATATCCACTTGTAAGGCATTCGATTCTTTAAACCATTCTCTTCTTGCACAAAAGCTCGACCTTCTAAGGTTTCCGCCCAATCTGTTGAGATAGATTTCTAGCTACCTGTGGTATAGGTCTCAAAGGGTCCTTTTCAAAAACTCCTTATCTTTACCTGTTATGGTTACTTCTGGAGTACCACAGGGTAGCCATTTAGGCCCTTTACTTTTAACACTCTTTATTAATGACCTGCCTTCTGTATTAACAAATTCTCGAGTACTTATGTATGCATATGTAAGGACATTTCATTTCACTCTCGCCTGCAATCTGATCTCAATAGCGTTCAGTCATGGTGCTGTGCAAATATGTTACAATTTAATGCCTCAAAGTGCAATGTAATGAATTTTTATCGCTCCAGCCCCTTCCTGGCTCCTTACACCCTCTGCGCTAGTTCTCTTGAGAGAATTACATTAGCTGATGATCTAGGTGTTAAACTAGACCCCAAGTTAAAGTTTTCTGAACACATTTCTACCATGGTAAATAAAGCCATGGGTGTGCTTGGGTTTATAAAGAGGTGGTCAAATGAATTTGATGACCCCCATATTTAGGGATGACTCTCTATATCTCGCTTGTTCGTCTGATTTTAGAATACGGCTCATGTGTATGGTGCCCTCAGTACATCATATATCAGGACCGTATTGAATCAGTACAGAAAAACTTTTTATTATTTGCCATACGGGGCCTCAACTGGGAATCAACTGTGAGACTGCCATCCTACCGTAGTAGACTTCTTTTAATAAATCTTCCATCCTTAGTTAGTCGTAGAAAAATGCTTGGTGTAATTTTTATGCACAACTTGATCATGGGGGATGTAGACAGCCGTGACTTGCTGAGCCGCATACACTTTACGATTCCCATTAGAAACTTTATTCCTTTGTTCCTTCCACTATGTAGATCGAATTATGCCTTGCACGAACCCTTTAGGGTTTTATGCTCGGATTATAATTCCCTCTACCACATTATACCTTCAACTAACTCCCTTCCTCTTCTTTAATCTCTTATACTAGCCTACCTCTCCCGTAGTTAGTTTCATTTTAGTTTTGTCTTTTTTCTGATTTTGGTAATTTTTGCTTTCTAAGCTATAGTAGCTCTAGTCTAGTTGTGTTTAGCTCTAATTTTCCTTGAATATTAGCCTAACATCTATCTTTCCTGCATACTCGCGACCGGTTCGGTTAATCGCGCCGCGAGTCATGCGGCAGCGCCCCTCGGTCGGCTGGGCGGGAGGAGGGCTGCGTTCTGCTGGGTTCTGCGCGTAACAGGCTTTGGCTTGGTGTCGCATGGGCCACTTGATGGTGCAGTTATTGCATATCAACGTCAAAAAAAAATGCCCGTTTATTCACAGCCACGTTCGCTTCCCGCAACCTGCGACCCGTTCAGTTAGACCCCTTGAGCCACCTCAAGCTTGTTGGATTCATCGTTTGTATTTAAAAATATTTGAATAAATATCGCATGGGAACGTGCAAACTAGGAACATCCCAGATGAATGGTGGAATACCTGGGACATTTTCGGAACGGAAAACCCTTAGGAACCATCCCAGAAATAGATGGTGGAGCGTGACCGTTTACGGTATATCGGTATATATAGGTATATTTCGACAATTTTTCGGTACACTACGGTATATTTTTGAGATCGTTGTACCCACTCATTGTCGGGAGGCGTCTGGCACAGCCTAAACTTTCAAAACGCAGCATAATTTGTACTCAAAATGAGTAAGAACTTTAAGCAAAAATATGGACCGGAGTTGGAAGCCCAGCCGGACAGAAATGCATTTCTTTGCAGGAGTAAAAATTCAGCGGGTGCACATTGCAAGGCTTGCAAAATAGACTTCAAGAGTCGCATTGCCTCAAAAACATAAAGACAAAATTAAACTCTTGTGGCCCATCTAAGGTATTTAAACAATTATTTTGTCTGATCTCTATGTTAAAATTCTCGTTTTTCATTTAAAGATTGATTTGTTTGTGGAGGACAGAAGCAAAACTGTTGGCGCCAAAGAAGAAGAGCAGAACTTATGTTTGTAGCTTATTTGTTTTCAATTGATTTGAGTAGCGAGAAAGCAGAGGACTTGTTCGAATCTTTAAATAATGGAATAAAATAATTTGATTTCGGTATGGGAAATATAGGGTTTGCTGCTGACACCACAAATGTCATGTTTGGTGAGCATAACAGCATAGTGTCTAAGATAAAAAAGGCAAATGATTCGGTACTTTTTGTAAAGTGTGTTTGTCACTCAGCAGCTCTAGATTCAGGCTATGCTTGTAAAATGCTTCCAAGAAGTCTAGAGCAAACGATTAAAGATACATTCAATTAATTTTCTAAGAGCTCAAAGCGACACTGAAAATTTAAACTGTTTCACAAATTGTTAAGTTCTCCAGAGCACCAAATACTTAACCATTATGAAATTCGTTGGTTGTCCCTGCATTCTTGTATTGCGCGTATGCTTTAGCAGTGGGATGCTCTTGTCCTTTTTTTTTTTTTGAGGATGAATGGACCGCAGAAAATAATATTTTCCCTCTCAAATCTGAAAAAATGTAACAGTAAAACTTTACTTTTATTTTCTTGATAATATTTTACCCATAATAAATAGATTTAACATAATTTTTCAGTCTAGCTAAGCTGTAACGCATTTAATCATTTTTAAATAAGGAATACAAACATAACTTTAACTGATACCAAGAGCTCTGTTAATTTCGTAGCATTACAAAATGTGAATTTAGGCGTTAAAGTTAGCCTCGAACTGTCGAAATTGGATAGAACCAAAAAAACATTTATTTCTTCAACGAACCCGTCTTTTTAAAACGAGTTAAGTACCCAACTAAAGAAACGGTTGCCTTTCAACGAAACGGGTTTCACAATTCTTTCAGAAAACATAATTACTGCACAACTTACGGATTTACATGACCTATACCAGAGATTTCCTGACCTTATTAAAGATGCTCAACAGATCGACAACGAATTTTTCCTCTTAAAAAATGATGAGGGTCTATTCGATTTAATAAATAAATGCAAAAGTCTTGGCAATTTCTGGCATGAGTTAAGCAACATTAAAGATTATAATAACTGTTTTAGGTATGCCAATATTTCAAAACTAGCTCAAGCGATGCTAGGAGCTTCTTGAATTGAATTTATGTTTGTTTCTAAAAAAGATGTAATTGAATAAAGATTCAATTACATACAGATTTCATTACAATTCCAAAATAGAATAGTAGTTGCATGCATATTTCATTGTCTTCCGTTTACGTCTTCATTCGTAAACAATGAAGGAAAACAAGATAATTTAAAATTCGTGCGCTACACAACCTCTTTCGTCGACGTTTGGCAAACAACTGACAAGCAGGTGTTCTTAGAATGAGAAGCAATGTGGTGAACCCGTCACCTAATAGTAGTTTCACCATGGGGCATCATACACGTTTGTTCTATGTAGGAACAGATGTCTTGGAACGCATTTATATCTGGTGGTTGTTGTAGTTTCAACTTTGTGAAACGCTCGGGTTTCCCTTCCAGTTGTAGTTTCCGAAAGAATCGTTACTGAACACATCTTTGGCATGCATGTAGAACCATTCCTTGTGAATATATGATGCATGCGAAACAAGCCCACATATATTCAAACATATGTATCTACACAAAATTTATAAATTTGTAGTAATATTATAATATATATATTATTATTATAATTATAATTATAACGAGTAGGGACGTGTGGGACGCTTCTTACTCGTCACTACTTTTATACCCGGTACTCAGTCAGTGTAACTGTATTGTTTTGTTTCGAATTTTAAATTTGACATTTTGTTTACATCTACATCCAAATAACTTCTAACGCCAACGCGCTTTTTTTGCTCGCCCCCTTCCCTAGAGCCACACACTGCATAGGCAGAGGCCTCACACTGCAGAAGCAGAGTGTGAATAAGAGAATGTGCAAAAAACAAATAAAAGCTGAGGGACGGAGTGGGTTTAGCCAACGGAAATTAATTTCTTTATTCTGGCTTTAATAATGATCCAATCTGATCCCAATTCGGCGATCTGATAGATATGGTCTTTTATCTTCAAAATTTAGGCTGTGGGAGATTTTCCCTTTTTCTCGGTGCCGAAGGGGGCGTTGCTCATTTTTGAAATACACTGGTTTCAGTGTGAGCATACAGCATTCTGGAGGCAACATTTGGTGGTTCTAGCTCTAATAGTCTCTGAGAACTAGCAGACAAACAAGACGGACAGACAGGCATAGCAAGAATATATATACTTTGGGACGCCCAGCGCCGCAACTCCAAGCCATATATAAATACTCACATTACACAATTATATATTAAAATTCAAACAAAATAAGCACGAGCACCAAAATACCCACCGGGAGAACGGCCACACTAACAGCTGGGCTCAGAACGCGTTTGGGGTAACCCCAAAAATCCCGAATGCCAACAGCTGATCGCCGGCAATAAAAGAAGGATCGCCGGACCGAATCGTGGCAGTCCGTCTGGCTGGCCCACCTCCCCGAGGGTGCTCCATCCTCGGAGTCCTCGCCAGAGTGGGTTCCAATCTCGGAATCCCCTCCAGAGTGTGATCCACCTCTGAATTCTCCTCCGATTGTCCTTGACCTTCGTAACCTCTCCCCAAAGTGTGCTCAACCTCCGTAACCTGTCGTCTCCTCGGAGTGTGCTCAACCTCCGTAACCTCTCGTCTCCTTGGAGTGTGCTTAACATCTGAAAGAACTCGTCTCCTCGGAGTGTGCTTAACCTACGCAACTGCTCGTCTCCTCGGAGTGTGCTTAACCTCCGCAACAACTCTTCTCCGCGGAGTGTGCTTAACCTCCGCACCGATCTTCTCCTCGGAGTGTGCTTAACCTACGCATCCATACCTTCCCCTTGGAGCGTGTCCAACATCTCCGCATCGCTCAGAGCGGACCCTGACCTCCGCATCCACGTCCACGGCAGACCCCACACACAGCCACATGCGGCCCCTCACATCCAAAACTCTTAAAACCACTAAAGAACGATATTTCGTTCACCGCTTAATCCTAGCCTAATTCTTGAACTTACGGAAACCTCTCTTTCAGCTACCACATCCAGAAACCAACAAATTTCTGTGAACCCGGCACGGCGAGCATACCCCGTCCGAAGCGACGTCTCAACTTTATGGGGTCGGAAACGTTTCCTTCTGTGCGTTACATATGTACATCCACTTTGTGCACAAATACAATATACCGGGTATACAAAAAATATATAATACAAGAAAATACATATGTATGTAAATTATTATGTTTCTCCAAGGTACCGTGGCCAACGGAATTGAGAGACGAATATAGTGTTCAAGTATTTATTGCCGGCACTACAGGCTCGGTTGAATATGAGTGTAAAACTAAAGTACAAAAGTATGAATTATAAATTGGTACACCGCGGACGGCTCCATCGCTTGAGCAGCGCTGCCCGACAGCGCTCTCCGATTCCGTCGCGTCAGCTCCACGTGCAGACGTTCTTGGCGGATGTTTATGCAACGGACGAAATATGATGCCAGTTCAACTCGATGCCCGTCCACTCCAGCGCTGTATCAGCATTCTTACAAAGTAAGATCATTGCCGATACGCTGCCATTGGTGTGGAGTGTTAACTACTCCCCCTCTACAAGAGTGGTCGCCCACGAACCTCTCAAGTTCTCAATCATTGCGTTGACCTGGACCAACTCCCTTTTCCTCTTGAATAGGGCTCTGAGATAAAGGATGCTGCCTACTCCTACTCCAATGGTAAGGATGGGCTTCATCTTGCCCATTGTGGTTCGCTCAATCTCCTTGATGTAGTTGCGATTGTCCTCGCTGAGCTGGTGTAGGAATGGTAGACTCAGGACCTTGTGGTGCTCGGTGATGTTCATGGCAGGCACCGAGGCGATTCCGGGAACTCGATGCTTGGTATTGTCACGATTCCGAAAACGGGAGCCGTTAACAATGGCAAAGCCTTCGAAGGCGACTAATTGCGTCCCGGAGGTGTCAACCAACGTATCGGAGTCACATCGTCCACGAGGGTGATGGGCTCCAGGTGGCTGGATTGAGAGTGATAACGAGCAGTGCCTCCGGAGTGTAGCCTTTGCGCGCAGGAGCCCTCCGATTCTCTTCTGCAGAACGGGGTGATAGTAGTGGTGGTGCAGCCCGTAACGGCCCACACCTGGCTTCCGCACTCAGCCATGACGTTGTCCTTAAGTTGCAGTATGGTACCGTTGTGCTCAACCGGGAATAGCGTGACTTTCTTACAAGCTAAAATTACTCTAGGGTACCCAATAATAATGTTATAATAATGTTATTTGATTGTAAGACCTTGATACTGGATACTTCTAGTAGATTTGAAATTGTGACTCCTGTGTATTGTTTAGTGAGGATGGTTTCTATGTCAGCATGGTCAAGTAGAGAAGGGCTGGCGTTCTTGGCGGATGTTAATGCAACGGACGAAATATGATGCCAGTTCAACTCGATGCCCGTCCACTCCAACAGGTGTCTGTTAGATTTTACCAACACCTTTTCTCCTACCCTAAACACTCTGTTTTGTCGTGTCTGGTTAGCTCGGTTGTTTGCATGATCTGAGCTTTTTGAACCTTATTCTGTATTACGGGCTGCACCACCACTACTATCACCCCGTTCTGCAGAAGAGAATCGGAGGGCTCCTGCGCGCAAAGGCTACACTCCGGAGGCACCTGCTACATTTTGAGGCACCTGGCAATTTCCACCAAAGTACTGTGGAACCTTTCCACCTGGCCGTTCGATGTACTGTGGAGTGGCGGAAGTATTTCCTATCGGTTGAGAATATATCAACATGCAGCATTTTTCCCGTGCACGACGGAATTGGCGTCGTGCCTAGTTCCTGTTTCCCAGGGTGTCTGTCATACTTTGCTCGGGAGCAAATCTTACAGTTCATGACTACCTCGCTTGCCATTTTAGTCATTTTGGGAAAATAGTAATCGGTCAAAACCTGTTTTACATTTTCCTGAGCGGCTCTATGAGCTCGATTGTGTTCTACCGTGATGATTTCTTTCCTCTCATTATCATCAAATAAGTCTACGACAAGATTCTTGCAATGCGATAGGCCGAGTCTTTTCCCCGAAGAGAATGAAGACTTGCTTTAGAGAGAATT